GTATACTTTCCGAGTTATACCCAAACAAATAATCTGAGTTCTTTCCTTCATATTTTTTCCTTTTTTTTTTTTTTTTTTTTGGATCTACCAATTTTTAGGAACTGAAGAAGTAATCTTTAACATAATGACTTGATCATTGAACTGTACGAAGAATTAAGGGAGATAGGGTGTAACGAAAAAAACCTTTGACAAATTATACATAAAGATTTCAAAATAGTGTTGGTTTTATTTTTTCGTTGTTTATTTTAAGCAATAAATAATATTTAATTTATGAATAACATTTTTTTTAAATGCATAGTTCAAGGAAACATCCGCTAGTGATTATAAAATTTATTGTGCATACTTTGTATTACTGGTCGAATGGTAATGAATTAATAATATTTCCATCTTTGATAACGGGAGCGAAACTAAAAATGCTATAATAAGCCTGATTGGTATTGAGCCGTCCTGGATAATCTTAACAAATACCTTAATATAAACTTTATATTATTAAGTTGGTGGTAAATTACTTAACTCGGAAACGTACATGTACGTTTGTGGGGGACAGTCGACAACGGCAAAACCTGATTTGTTTGTTGGGTTAGATAATTGACGATGTAAAACGTGATGTTTGTATCAAATACAATGTTTCAAAATTTGAATATTCTAATATATTTTTACTTTCACTTACGTATATTTATTCAACAAATAGTATATAACGTAAATCTGATAAATTTGAAAGTGCTTCGAATAATATGAATAAACAATGTTACACATCTAAACACAATAGTTATTCCTTTCTATGTGAAACCACTTTATAAAGGTGCTTAATCAAAATATGCGTTTAAAGAATTTTTTTTAGTACTTCGCTCATGTGCAATATTGTTTTGAAAAACCAAGGTATGTGAACAGAAGTGTAGTATATCCATTTTCCTAGCAGGCATGCTAAGAGTATCTTAATACTTTTTCAGGAGTGAGGCATTCACATGGTATTTTATGCTTAAAATATAAAAAATCTTGCACCCTATATTAAGAAACACTTTTCTTGATCTTCATCCTTCCTTAAGAAAGTATATCAAAATTAATAAATCTACAGTCTTATTAGTCCATAAATGAACGAAAATAAAATATGATTACCTATATTACATCTTACAGTACTCTTAGTATAAAAGTTACTTTTCTTCTTCTCTCATACCATATATTATTTATTACAGTGATCTACAACTCAGCACTGCTGTGGGAGATGGTACTCCTCGCTGGATTCGCCAGACTCCTGTATAAGAAACCTGTTCCTGAGTCTTACCAGATGGACAAGAACTCCAACCTCCCTAAACAGCTGTGCACCCTTCAGGAGAAGATCACGATTAGCGAAAGCATCACCCAAGAAAACATCAAGAGTCCTGTGGCCAAGTACTAATAATATCTCAAAGCCATGGCTAAATGTTGGGGATTATCTTCAATGATTAGGGTAACCTTGAGACCCTCAAATTTCTGAGAAAAGTGCCGAACTATTAGGCATTTCATGATATCAATCATAGTATTATAGGAGTCCTATAGTGTAACACATCTTTTACCTCCTTTTTATATAAACCTTAAGGAATAGTGATAAAATTAGTTGCATTGACCATTTGAGTATCACTGTCATATCATTAGGATATTTCGTGCATTGATGTTATAGTAATGAATAATCTAGAAAAATTGCACAAAAAAAAATCCAATGGTTTCGCTTATAATCTTTTTAGAAAATATATCAGGGGTTTAATGGCCCCTCTTCATCCACAAAAAATATAGTAATTATTTCATAATTAATTAAATTGTAGATTCTAAGCTTACTCAGCAATTCCACTAACCGTCATAAAACTTGGAATGGAACATCCAGTTCATAAATGCTATTAAATTAACAATGTTTTTCCGCAGATCAACAAACGTAAACATTCATAATTTTAGTGGACCAAAATTATTGGAAAAAAATTTATAATTCTCCAAAAATCTAATCCAAAGAATTGTTTTAGCCATTTTTTTAAGGGACAGTGTTTGAAAAAATATTCCCTTTAGCTTTTATCAACTTTTTGACATTAAAAACTTATTCGTAAATAGCTTGCCTAGTCAGATATTTCTTTTTTTTTTTTCTTTTGGGGCAATTGTAATACAAATTTATAATGGAGATGTTCTTGTTTCCTTAATCATCATTTTATATGATAAAAGCACAATATTTTAATGATCTATATGTAGTGTACATAATTAAGCAGATAACTTTGGTTAGACTGTTTTTAATTTAGCTTTTAAAATATATATGTATTTAATTTTTTTATACTTATGAAATTTATAATTAGTTTTTTGTATTTTATAATTTATATTGTATATAAGTAGGAATGATTCGTTATACTCTTTTCAATTCTCAAAAATGTTAATGATTCAGTTGATTTATTATTTCCTAATATATTCTCAACTCTAGAATCAACTGATTGTTGAGAAATTTTTTAGTTATATATATATTTTTTGTTATTTAAATTTAATTTTAAAGGAAGCAGCTAAAAATAATGAAGCTGTCTATTTATACTGTGATAAGCTATATTTATTTTGTAAAGATATATCGTTTATCTTATTTTATGTCATATAGTAAGCTCAATAGCATTATTATTTTATTTTTATCACTAGGATGTAAATGTTGTTTTTATTGTACTGAAAATTTTGTTAATTACATTCTTATTAAATTCAAGTTTTCTTTCTCTGCTCCCGATTGTTTCATGATTAAAATTGGTGAAAAATATCACAGTTTATAAAATAAATTCAGAAATTTACTCCAAAAAGACTGACAAGATCAAGATGATGCAGTACATAATTTTTCCTTAAATATACTTCTTTTTCATATATATATATATATATATATATATATATATATATATATATATATATATATATATATAATTTAAATTGGAGTGTAAAAATGTTACTCATACTTGACAATATTACTAATTAAAAAAAATGAAATAAAACACGTTTAAGAAAACAACATATTTAAACTATTATTTGTCAAGAGGTCAGAATGCAAATTTACATCTCCACATATGATCACAAGAGGAAGGAGAAAGAGACAGCAAGTGAGGCCAAGTTCAACTGCATCAAGCAATCAAGTTCAGCCTATTACCAGTAATTATCTGTCAGGGTTGGGGAGGGGAGAGGGTTGACAGGGGGTGGGGGCAGAGGAGGAGGAGTGAAAGTGATCCCAGAGCCAGTGTTCAAGGAAGTGTGGACCAGGATGGACCCTCACAGCTTCCCACAGCGCAGGTGTTACATACAGCACCAGGGGACTTAGCCATCTACAGGCATCTGGCGCTTCCATCATGAGGGGACACTCTTGACCGAAAAATGACTTTAACCAAAATCAGTTTTGGGTATGGGTTCCTAATTATTTTATCAATCTGCTTAGTGGTCGGACTTAGTCAAAATCTGAAGCTGGGATGGGCTATAAATCTGTTTGAAAGATTCGGATACTTACATATTACGATGAGAGTTATGCCGAGAAATGACACCAAGTGGATATTCAGGGAACCCTCTGTCGAAATTTTTAAAGACATAGAGTCTATGAAGAAGACGGAATTACTCAGTGAAGGGAATTCTGTGTTTCATGGCAACTTCAACATGTTTTTTTGTGATGACTTACATGAACTATTCAAAACTTACTTTCAAGAATTCTCCATCGAAAGATTGGATGAACCATGGGAAGCTTTTTTAGAGAACTTTAGCAATGAGACATTAGCGTACAATCTTGGCATAAATGTCAGTTATGTGTCAGGAGATCACTGTTATGTCCTAGTAAAAATTACTAGGGTGAGAGATAAAATATCTTTTTCTCCAGAATTCGAAGCTTTGAATGCGTCAGTGAACCAAGCAGTACTAGATAAAGCAGAAACTGTAAAATTAGGTGATATGTCAAGTTTGTGGGGTTTTGTAAAGACATTTGGTTCCCACTACATAACATCCTATGCGACAGGAAATTCTATGTATCAAGTAATAGTTTACTCACAAAAGATATACAAGAAATTGCGAGATAAAATTGAAAAGGCATCTGGTTTTCAATCGCTCAGTAATGAAGAAATAAATTTCCTTTTCTCACCACAGTTCGCAGAACACATGGGTAATGTTCTGACATCGAGTGGAAACGAGACACTCCTGGATTGGGCAGAAGAATCTTTAAATAGTTCCTATACGGTACCTGCAGATCCACCTTACAAAATTACTTATTCGAATCTCCTCAAGCTTTATAGAAACTCCAAACTGCTAAAGCAACTTGAAGTGTTACTGGGAAACGAGGCTTTACTTCATTTGAAGCTGATGACAGTTGGGCCAGTATTCAAGGATAAGCAGATAAGAGACTGGTTTTTAGAAGTTTTAGATAATAATTTGAAACTGTGGGAAGTTAACTGAATGAGAAGTAAAATCAACACTGAATACTGTGATTATAATAAATAAGTAGGTAAACTTAAATTGAACTGATTCCAAAGTTGTTTTTTTAATGTGATTAATTTAAGATGTATAATAATTCAAGTGAAATAAAGTATATTATTTGTAGCACAGTAATAATAACAATTACCTACCTAAATAAAAGATTTAATTAAATCTCATTATAATATAATGGATCAAATTTCAGATGACTTAACTGTTACACAAGACATACCAAAGACAATCAATAAAAAAAAACACTGCAACTAAAGGTCGATAAAAAAACTGCTAATTATATAACTATAAACAAACATTCATCATATCAAAAAAAATTAGTATACGTTAATGTATCATCCAATTATTAAATGAATATTAGTAAGTATTTACTAGGGTTACAAGAATGAAATTTAATATAAAAGTTATTAAATATTAAAATGACAAAGAAAAAGTTTTGGCAAATGTAATTTTAGCCAATTCCACTAAAAGTTATCCATTATGATTCCCGTTGTTAACAGTTAAGTAAAATGTATTGCCTTATAAATTAATTATGATCAGGGTTAATTAATTATCAAGCGCATAAACACTAGAAACATTTTTTTGACAAATTTATTTGTCTTTATTATGAGACAGAAATTAATTTTTAGTTTAAAAATAACAATACAATATGATATTGTGACTTTTTAAAAAATGGCCAGCATACATTAAGTATACTACAATTTATATTTTGTTCCTGAAACGGAAGAGGATTAAATTAATTCAAATAAATGAATTGTACTGCCTTTGTTTATGCACAATAATTAATTGTACACTTAATTGAAGTATTGGTGAATAAATGGCAGTGATCTAACCATATTTATAAAATGAAGGCCATAGAAAATGGTGTCTTCTTAAGCAAAAATACAGTATGTATTTTCCATAAATTTATTACAAAATATGAAATAACACTCATCACAATAGTATTTATTTGTTTAAAAAATATTTCCTTGCTTATATATCTTCCGTTTCTGAATCGGAGTCTTCTTCCATCGCAGCTTTAGCATCTTTTTCTGCTTCAGCATGTACATTAGCAGGGACTTGTTGATTTACACCACTTGTCTGAGAGCCAATCCAGCTCATCTCCAGCTCGAACTGTTTATCCTTTAATTCGTCATGGACAAGGTAAATACTGAACAGAAAAAGAAAAAAAAATTGGTCTCAAGCAATAATTAACATTAACTGGAATGAACATAAAAATAAGTAACGCTATGATAAATTAAGGAATAATAATTGTTTTAATCATAATACAATCGATCCTCCATTATTTGTATTACTGAGTGGCATGATTGATGTGAATATAAAAAACTAACAGTAAAAAACACATTGCCGTATGAATTCTAACACAATTAACTCAATTTTGAAGCAAATGAGCAGGGTAGCTAACTAAATAAGTTTCTTCTCGCCTAATGGAATGGTGTTATATGGTTCAAATTTATTTTCCCAAGACATAAGGCATTCAACACAAAAATAAATTGTTTAAAGTTATATATTTTTGTATTGGGGTTAAGAAAAAATAATAATATTGAATTTGAAATATAATATAAATTATAAGGAGGAGGTCATTAGCAACAAAATTAAACAGTTTTTTTATAATCTCTTGAAAATTTAACCAGAGGTAGTTATAATTTATGATGATATTTTTATCACAACAAATACATTATTAAGTCTACAATTTAAAATAAGAATGAGTAATAAATTGACTGTGCTTAGCTTATACCATTATAAATACAAAACTGAATAAAACAAGTCTAAAAATAATTATTACGATGTTAAGTTGTTTAGATTATTTGGTATAAATTTTATAACAGGGATATATATAATAATAACAGCGACAACCAGGATCATCCAGGTAATAGGTATCAATACCATAAGTATTCAAATAGGTATCAATCAACTTTAAATTTCTTAAATTATGTTATGATAGAATATTTAAAATTACATAAACTTAAAGAGCACACAAGCATCACTACTGGTTCAAAATTATTGATGATACATAAGACAATTTGGTTTGTTTTTAAATTAATAACTTGAGACAGTTTATAAAAACAGTTTTTTTTTTTTAAATGATAAAATAACAATAAAGCCTTCCAGATTCTATTTAAAAATTAATTATTAAGACACATAAGGGAGCCACTAGTGAAAATTTAACAGCAACATCTATCAATAATCTGTAGAGGTATAAATATGGCATATGAGACCATCTATAGTTGTTTGCTTTTTTTAGTTTTATACAGATTACAACCATTGATTTATTCTTGTTCAAATGATAAGGGAGTTCTTCGTAAACATTGATCAGAAATGACTTATTCTGATCCAGGATTAAGGACAAAACAAAATAGAAAATTTATTTGTTTTATCACTATCTTCAATTGTTCAGCACAGAGAACAAAGATACTTAACATCCAAAGGATCACCATCAAACTGAACAACAAAGAAACTGCACAAAAAACTTATTTATCATTAATGGCAGAAAGAGAGAAGAGAGATATGGTGAAAATGGAATATAAAATATAAGAAGGAAAAAAATCCAGATTAATGTTAGCAACATATCAAAATTTTCATTAAATATCACATAATAATCCAGTTAGTACCTGTTGTGAAAACTCAACACTCATCACACACTATACCGAACAATACAATATGAAAAACATTAAACACTTTTGGTTGGGGGTTGCAGTCAATGAGAATACAAATAAAAAATATATATATTTTTTTATTTTGTGACTTTTTGGTTTATTATTCTCAATAATCAACCTTTGTAATCGAAAAATTGAAAAAAAAAAAAAGTTATCCCCTCCTCTCAAAATTTGAGGTTTTAGTTTTCAAGATATGTAGAATTTGAAAAACGGAATGAAAAAAATCCGTCCATCCTCGGCTTTTCTCCAAGACTACTAGATTGATTATTTTAATATTTGGTATCAATGTCAAAGGACATCCGAGGATGACCCTCAGAACTCCACATAACGATCCGTTCTTCCCTTCTAAGATGGCAGTCTAAAAACCTGTACCGTACAGATTGTAGCTTCTAAACAAATATATGAATTTGATGAAACTTGGCTAAAGTGTCCTTTCAGAACCTTTAAATTTATCTATAATATATTTCACAAAAAGAAGCTGGAAAAAAGTTATAAGGGATGGTAAAATTAGATTTTCGAATAACTCAGAAAGTATACACTTTCTTCGGTTTTTGTTATGGTCATTTAAAAGGTTATATTTCCAAAAAAATGAAAAAAGAATTGTTTAAATCGGACAATTTGGTGCAAAGATATGTTGTTATATATATAAATATTAATATTAATCTTTTCCACATGTTCTGCTGCAAATCTGATATCCATTATTTTTATTTTTTGATAAGTCTTACATCGCCTGAAGAAATCGTGATTGTTGTCTATATTTCTTAAAAAAATTACTAATGATGAAAAATAAAAATTATTTAGATCTATAAAAGAAATCCCCTTTTATTTATTTTCTCTATGTGACAAGGAAAGTAGTGTTACATATGATATATAAACGTTTGGAACAAATTAACAATGGTGTAATAATGTGCAGACTTTAGTTTTACTTTCACTTCTATAAAAGTAATATATAGTAAGGGACAGTATTCCAATCACGAAAAATTTCGAACCTGACTTTTCAAGTAAAATATACGTTTTGTGGTTCTCTGAGTCCAAGTAAACAATTCCCGCAAAATGGTCAGTGAGTGTGCATATGTGAACAGCCTAGCCTCATGAAAAATCACACAAAACTTAAATTACATATTTAAGGTAGGTATGTGCCTAGAAGCAACTGTTAGAGCAACTTTTTCCTTAAAATCAGCTAACTGGAAGTGCCACCTTACATCAACGATTTTACACATTTTTACAATTTTCTCGAAAATGGATCTGACAATTTCAATTAAAGTTCTTATATCAATGTAAAATCAAATGGCCCTTAATAGGAGCTAGGTTGTATCCTCATTGCTGTCACTTAACAGGGATTAAATGCCAAATGTTCACAATTTCGTCTTCTAAAATACCTTTAATGTGGTTAATTTTAACTAATTAACTTTTTCTCATTGTCAGTAGTAATAAAAAAAAAGGCTTAATATAAACTATGAAATTATTTTATAATTGACAAAAGGAGAAAAAAAAGAAAATATTTTTTAGGTCAAAAATGAATTTTCAGGAATAACAGTCAGAATGTTTCTGTAAAATACATCATTGGAAAGGTGAGCATCTAAAAAAACAAAACAATATTTTACAAAGATCATTACCTAAATCAATGAAAACTAAATTAGATTCCTTACTTAACTTTTAAAATTATTATTAAGTTTTTAAAAAATATATATAATCCATTAATTGAGGCGATGGAATCATTTAAAAATTATTTTATTGTACCTGTGTTAAAAAAAAAGTGGAATATAAAAATATTTCATGAATGAGTAAAACATAGGTTTATAACCTTAAATACATTTAATAAAGTTTAATAACATTAGATTTGATGTTTATCATGATATTATTATGTTTATTATTCAATGCTTATTATTATACTGATGTTATTTTATATTTTGTAATTTTTAGCCAATATGTTTGGGTCAAAACGTCAGCTCACCTGAAAAACTGTGACTGAAATTTCTGACATTTTTATTTGATCCTTATAATTGATCAGCTGACTAATTACCCATCTCTATGTTTACATCATTTATTTATTTAAAAAAATCATTATGTAACATCTTAGAAAATTAAATTAGTAAATAATTTGATGAATTTTTCCTCTGTGAAATCATAAAGTTATTCACTTACAATTAGTTTGATGACTTTGACGAATTTTTTTTATGGACGTGGTTTAGCCTTTGTCTTGTCATTCTTCGAAATGCAACCAATCTAAGGTCACTTTTTATTATGTGAGACATTGCTCTTCCCGAAACAGAGATTCCCATCCATTTCCTGAGAGACATGATTTGTTGTTTTAGAATAGAATTTCTTCTGATTCAAGCAGCCAATGCTCTCACTGCATTTGCCGCTCTCATAGTGTGGGGACGGTCTGGTCGAGGTCTGTCACATACAGATATGATCTCATTATATCTATTTATAGTACGGCATGTGAACATACAGCTGATATCCAAAGGTTTCAAAGTTTTGAAAATCTCTGATCTATATTTTCTAACTTTGTGTAAGGCGATCACAGCTATTCGGTTTTCTTTATCACCCAGCTCCATGTTAACTGAGCGAAAGAAAAATACAAACTAATTGGGATTATTACCCTCACATATAAAGAAAATAACCTGATAGAGATAAGGATTATCTAAATAATACCTAAGGATGTAAACAAAGTTCAACTTTTGTAACAATATTTAAGTTTTTTATCACAAATTGTATGTTTTCTTCATCTATCTGTATATAATCATTGAAACTACAAATAACCAGTTCTGCTTCCAGATCCAGTGGTCTAAAAATAAATTTTGAATAGTGCTCAGCTCTTCTTAGTCTATTAGATTATGAAAGTTCTGGGAGTATATTTTGAAAATGGACAAGTTTTATGCAATTTCAGACTCTATTAACATTAAAAGTATGTATTAAATCCCTACTTTAACAAAATATCATAAGCAGCTTTGATAAAAGGACATTGAAGGTTTTGAAGTATACCAGCTATGTAAATATGAAATCAGAATGCGTTCATAGTTACCACTAAACCGTATTATTAGCGCCATTTTGTTTTATTGACAGCTGGCACAGATTTTCAAATCACAATTTAATTTTTATTTAACAGCATCATTTTAATATTGTTAAACATATCTAGTTTTGTAATTACAAACAATAATTTTTGAACAGCATTAGTTTTCTGTTATCTTTTAAAGAAAACTGCTGCAGAATTTCATCAAATGCTTGTAAAAGCTTGCGATAGACATGCTCTTAGTAAATTGCAGTGGTTCGAGTGGTTTAAAAAAATTCAAAAGTGGCTGACGATTTTGACATGATAAATAAAAAAGACCACAAAAAATGTTTGAAGACAGCGAATTGCAAGCATTGTTAGATAAGGATGACAATCAAACCCAACAACACACACATCATTTGAATGTAATATGAGAAGCAGTCTATATATTTGAAAGCCATGGGAAAGGCCTAGAAGATGGGAAAATGGGTTCCGCATGAACTGATTGAAAGATGGCAAAAAAACTCAAAAAACAAAAACACCTCCGAAATGCTCTTCAAGTCCAAAAGGAAGTCATTTCTCCATTGAATTGAGACAGGTGATGAAAAGTGTACATATTTCAGAATTCTAAGTAAGGAAGGTAAATCTGCTTTTACCCTTCTCTCTCTCCCCCCTTCCTCTATGTACTCTTCAAGCAGTTAGTTCCATTTTCACAAAACTGGCCATTAATGAGTTAAAATATCATCTTTGAAAAATAAGGTCAGTATCAAAGTGATGGGGTCAAGAAAATCATGAGTGGTAAGGTAATGAAGTTTATTATGGCCTTGTGAACTAGATGAAGTCTACTCTGCTTTCTAAATGCACAAAATAATTAAGCAATAATAGATGAACATAAGTGCATATTTAGGCATTTTTTACCAATTTAAGTATTCGAATAAGATATAATTTTAAATCAGGTAAAGTGACAATAACCGGTTTGTTTAAAATAAAATGTCCTTTGCCATTAAAATATAAAAGTGCTTCGGTACTACAGGTAACTCATTAAATGGTAGGTAATTCATATAGTTCTACTTGAAGTAAGAGATGGAAAATGAAACTCACTCGACGGAATTTGCTCAAGTATAGCTAAACACTCCTTATAATAAACATTCGTTGTCTATTTTTGATACGAAGCCAATCATTTAATCACAGTAACTCATGCATGCTTAAGATGAAGAGCTGAAAGACTTACATTCGGGCTGCTTCCTTCACCAGCTCCTGACATGACATATCTTTCAGTTTTAATTTTTCAATTTCAGTTTTTGCAGCTTGCTTCGCCTTCCCAACAGCACAACCAAAATAACCCTGTACAAAAAAATAAATAAAAATTCAATGAATCCTCAAAAGATTAAATTGCACCAAGGCTGTCGTACATAAAATGTTGAGATTTTGCCTCAGTACAAGAAATAAAGATAACATAAACGAGAAGTCGCCATTAAAGACATTAAACTTTTTACTGAATATTATATATTACAGAATATACTGTTAAATAGTTCCTAATTAATTATATCAATACTGAACATGATTTTATACTCAAGTACTTAATTAAACAAATGAAAAAGAATGAAGTACAACCGAAGGGTAAGTTGTCTCTTCAAGAATTTATTAATATAATGGGTTTAATCAATATCATTTGAGCCATTGTCAAGCAAATTGTAAAAATATGTAAAATCATTAACATAAAGCAGCATTTTCATTTGGTCTATTTTAACAAAAAAAGTTACTGTATACATTTCAACATATATCTACATTAAAGACAAAAATACAGTTTCAAACAATTTTTCGTTTTTGAGTTAGGCAATTAAACACGTGGACCATTTTGTGAGAATCAGTTATTTGAAATCAGAGGAGAGGAATCAAAACAATGATTTTCATTAAAAAATTGGATTTAAAACTATTCATGATCACAATAGTTTCCTTTGTTTTTTATATTAAATATTTCCTATAAACTTCATGTATGGAACTTTCTTCCAGAAAGTGCTACTGAACACTGTCTGAAATGAATTACCGCTTCCCATTTATAATATTGTAATCAAAAGAAATATGTCAATAAACTATAAAACTTTACCAATATTTGACATTATTTAATAATTCAATTAAATAACTACAGGTTTAAAAAAATTAAGATTTAAATGCCCAAATGTCATATGCGAGTGACCAATGAGGAGTAGAGTGGTTTAGCGTTGTCGTGGTGGAACACAACACCCTTCCGATCATTCATAACTCTTGAGGATGTTCTCTAAATTCGATGTTACTATATCCGTTGGAAAGCTAAATTATTGCTCTTCAAAGCCATATGAATGGTTTTTTGATTTAATACCTACATAAGGAATAAATAAACAAAAACTCCTAACAGGTTTTCTATTTTTTATCTCCATTAGTAGTTTGTTTACAAAGGTCCTGTTGATCTTATTTTGAGTAGTTTATGTGGCCATAAATTTCTTGTAGATAGCTAAAGTCGTATTGAAGTTATACAATTTTTTGTTAGGGACCCAAACATTAAGCCTGGAAACATAGCCGAGCTTGTGCAAATAGTTTTCTACACTTGTGTGCAACCAACATATTTAGGACCATAGCAATCTCTCACACTTATTGGGTGGGGTTTTGATCAACAATAGCCCCAACATTGCTCGTTTCAATTTCATGTGGGCGATCAGACTGTTGAGTATTATTGATGTCAAAATTTCCTGAATGAAATTTGGCAAATCAATCTTGACAGATGTGTTAGTTAGATTAAGGCATCATTCCTATTAACACTGCAAATTTTTCTATAAGCTTTAGCAGCACACTTTTTAACCTAATACAACAAAATATGCCGATAATGATTGATATTTCCTCCATATTCACAGTGCAATAGTAAACACAATACAATACTAAGCTAGTTTCAACAAGAGTTAACAGATATAGTTGTTGACATATTACAAACAGGATAAACAATCCACCTTAGGGATTAATTGATCAGATAAGAAGTATATCATAGCGACAAAAATAAACACAATTAAATGAACAACAGAACGGCAGAGCCGCTCCTCAATGAAAAGCCATCAAATATCCATATTCTAAAATCCATAAGTGCTATAAGAAAACAAGTTAAAATTCATGTTATTGAGAATACAGCAATAGAAGAGATGGTAAAGTTAATATCACATAGTAAGACTTTCAATGGTAATAAGAGCATTCATCAAGTTATACGAAGAAAAGGTTAGAAATACCTTTTATTGAAATGCCTTAGTTGAGATAAATGAAAAAAAGTAAGGAATAAGGTCACATGTTTCTATACAAAACAAATAAATATAATTTTAACTGTTTTTTTATTTTTTTTTTATTTATTGATTAAAAATGTGATAATAATTATAATAAAATTATAATCTTACATAAGTTTATATTGAAAGAAGTTAGTCGGCTGTTCTACATATCATCAACATACGCAATAGATCGTCAGGACGCAGTTTAAGATTTTTACTACCAACCTTTCCACCCAAGCTTGTGGATAAGTATCAGGACATGGTATTGAATGCTACATACTATACTACGTACTTGAACTTCAACACTTTCGGTAATGTTAACATACCCTGATGAAGAACCACAAGCTTGAAATTCAACCAAAAGGGTTGAAATTTTGGAAATAAAAACCTTAAAAAACTGACTGTGTCCTGACTGTCTATCACTTAAAAATAAGTTTATATTTTGAAGTTTCAAGACTGTCAATGTCACTGAGACCAATAGAATGATATTTGTTATAAAAATGAAGTTTTTGATCGTAATAGTTAATAAGGAAATTTAAGTTCCTTATTAACCCAAGTTTTCAAAAGCATTGAATTAAATATAGGTTTCTACAGATCAAAATTTGGAATTCAACATGGATTTCCTTGTGACCAAAACCCCTAAAGTAAAATAAGAAAAGAGAATTATTTTAATGATGGATTAACTAAAAAAAATTCAACAGAAAAACAGATTTTACTGTTAAGAAGAATTTACATTTATTTATTTTTTTTGGATTTTTTCTAAAAGGGTTTATTTATATTTTACCATTGTACATAGTTTTAAGTATCTTAGTATGGTTTCGAGAGTTTTGTATATAGATTATTTTATTTTATTTTGTATTTATTATGTATAATATATTTTTTTTTTTTTTTGTTTTTTTACTGATTTATCTTTATCTTTACTTTTTATGTTTGTTTTTATCTGGCCAGATGTAATATTTTAATTTCTGTACTTTTTTGTTATTCTGAAGGGACTTCGTCCCAGAATAAAATTATTTTCTATTCTATTTTATTCTAAAAAAAAAAGAAAAGAAAAATGAGAACAAATACAAAACATAGAAATTTTATATTGAGAGCTTTTAAAATCTAACAAGAATTTTGGGATAGTAAAGGATCCGTACCTAAACTGAAATCATATTTAATTCTATTTGTGGTGAAGGTCTAAAACCCTTTATCTACTAATTTTATTTCCGTTACTCAAAATTATAATCGGTAAAAGAGCAGTAATTGAGCTTTCTAACGCTTGTATTAGCATTGAGTTAGGAGAAAATTCTGGAGAGTTATGAATGTTTAGGAAAAACAATTCCTCCAAGGAAATCACATACTAAAATTTGCAATTTTTATTTCTATAAAAATCAGTATTTAAGAATTTTAAAGAACACTAAAACTGAATCTAATTTTTTTTCTCATAACAAAAATTTACTTGACAAACTTTACTGGAAGCATCTTTTGGTATCAGTTAGTTAGGATATTTCATAACCGATTAAATACCATAGTTAATATTTTTTTCTTATTTTACCCCCGCCCCCTCCCTCAAAAAAAATCTACTTATATATAAAGTATATGGTAACTTAAAAATCCGAACATAGAAAAGACCAAAATTAATAACATAAATTTTGTATGAAATTATATAAAATCTTTTTTTCTTGGCTCCTAGGACACATTGGCACTCAGACATGGGACTAAAATTTTTCGACTAGTATCACCTAAAAAAGTTTCACTGAAATCGGTAACCCAACGTCCCTAACCTCCCATTGTTAGTGCAATTATTTTATTTAATCTTAGAAAAATAGATTACTACATACTATAATAAAATTATATTATCAGGAATAGTAAGCAATTACAGACAAAATTCTGGAAGATTAATCAAATACAGATTAACACCTAACCTATGAATATAGGAAATACTTTACCTAAGTCAGTTTACATTCAGATCTAGTCTAATGTAATACAAACCATTTCATATGATGATAATATACTTCCACTAATTAAAATTATTCACTCACTGATGACACATATTAAAAAAAAGTGTGTAAAATTTGAAAAATTGAGATTCAATACAGACAAGAGAAATTAATAAGAGAAAATAAAACAAATATTAATAATTGGATATACTCTAGAAAAATGAATGTATGCTGAGTTAATCTAGGAAGGTGCTATTATACCAACATTTCTGTACACTTCTCTACCATGGGAATACTAGGGGCCAACAAGTAGACTTATGTGATCAATTTACAAAAGATACAGAGATTTTACAGACAATGACAAGACTACTTAAAATTTAAAAGGGATACAAGCAGAATATATAAGATATATTCTAAACTTTTACACTTAGATTCAAAACAGGAAGCACTTTTGGTAGAATAGTTTTTGGTAACTTAAGATATAAAATTATGAAAGTACTAACATATGAAACTCCTGATGGATCTATCATATACATTTCTGGACCGTCTTCTTCTGTGTAAGTGCTGAGTATAACACTGCACCCAAATGGCCTTACAGCACTGTAGAGTGTATAAGCATGCATATACATAGACACTCGCTCATTCAAGTATTTAAGAGGTATACTGCTCTTATATTGAGATCTGTAATTAGCAGCTTCCGTCCTTGCAACTTCTGCAACTGCCCTAGCATCAGAAATCAGACCTGCTACTGCCTGAAAATTGAATTTATTCAAGTAAGCTGAATTATTGGAAGCATATTGATGAATGAACAAAAACGCAATGAAATTATTTGTTAAACAAATTAAAAATACAAACCATTCCAATGTGTTTGTCAATAGTAAAAAGTCTTTTATTGGCACCCGGTTCATATAATTTTGATGTGACCAACTTTTCAACAGCTAAAACAACACCATCTTTGCCTCGCAGACCTATGACAGTCCTGTAAAAAATAAACTCAATATATTAATTCCATAATAATAAAATACCATGTTTGATCTGTGAATTTTGTGCTATATGATGCATATAGTTACAACAGTGATTTAGCCACTAACAACGTAGAGTAAAATGGGCATATACACAAAAGTTGTATAGATTACGTAATGGAAAACTAGAATATCCAACCAAAAAATAAAATAATAAAAAGATAGCTAAGGCGTTGATGACCCGAGAATTTTACGCTTTTAAACAAAACCAAACAAAAATGCAGATGCCTTTGATACTAATGCAAAAAAGAAAAACATTTCATCTTCAAAAAGAAATTTGAATAACAATGACATTTACAAAAATTATCAATGTAAATTGATAATTAACAGGGCTTCATAAGAAAACTATAAATTTGAGATTATATCACTAAATTACTATTGTATTAAGAAAATGTTAAGGTTTATGTAAACAATAAACTTAAATAGGAGACTGAAAATTCAGAAACCAATTGAACATCCTAAAGTAAATCCCAATATATCAATCACGAGTCAAATTATTATAGGAAAAGCATTATGAAACTGTTAACAAAATATTATTTTCACTAGTAGCAAATAACTAAAATTTTAATTTTATATAATAAACAGTTCTAAAATCATGAATATATTCCTACTTCTAACTATACTCAGAACCTAGATGCAGTAGGCTTGCTGTTGTACTAATAATTAATAAAATGCTTACCCACTATTTTCAATAGCTTTTTGTGCATATTCAACTTGAAAAACTCTACCATCAGGAGAAAACTGTGACGCTGACAGATCATACTAGATAACAGATAAAAGTAAATTTAAAAGACATCAAAACTATATTTCAGTACAAAATAAAATGCGATTTCGTTCCAAGAATATTGAAAGAACAAACACGCGTACATATAAATCTAAAACAACCAAATGAACATACCCCAGTTCCTATCGAACTCATTGTAAATTTTCAAAATACTGTTCTGTAACAAATAGGACTTCAAAAGCACAAATTCATGGGTTTAGAACCTCCCCGAAACCGTCTACTCACAGCCGCCAATGCTTACAACATACACTTACTGATAATTATTTATGTATTTAACTAAAATGCAATAGCACTTAATAGTTTAAAAAAATAAACAAATTAATTTAATAAGGCGATTATATTGTTAATTTTTATCTTTTTTAAACATTGTATATCATTAAAAATGGAAAAGTGAAAACAAAGAGTAAGTTGATCCTCAATACCTATGCAATTCAACAAATAATTATATACTTGATATGTATCTCTAAGTTTTGATTAAAAGATAAATCTATAATAACGTTAGATTCACCATTAGAAACAATCAGGAATTTTGCCAATCTTATCTGATAGGAGCTTAAAAATTTCTCTATTTATGATATGTCATTGTAGTAATGAAATCTAAAAGTGTTATACGTTGGTGTATATTAAAGTTGATGTTATTTATGATTTGATTTATCTAGTTTATCAATAATAATTCAAAAACAATACTAATCTGAGCCCCTCCTATGTGGAGTGAGTGCGTACCACCATTGATATGATGTACCATACTCTGAAATTGTGAAAAAATGTGATAATTTTTTTAAACTAATATTATTAATATTAATAAGTCAACTATGCTCTCTAAACACACAACAGTAACATTTATATAAATCACTCATTATACCCTTAGTTGGCAAAGGCTCTTAGTCTTCGAAAAAAAAAATAATGAGATGCATTTTTAGTTCAATCTGCGAAAAAGGCACCTGGCTTATAAGGAATAACCAGGAACTGAATGAGCTAATTAACCAAAAGGATATTGTGAGATTTGTCAAGTCTAGGAGAATTAGCTGACTTGGACATGTTGCAAGTATGCCCGACAAATGAATGACGAAGAAGGTCACAAGAGAACCCTTCCCAGGAAAGAGGAAAAGGGGACACCTTAGCTGGCAAAAGGACCTGGAGGTGGATCTCATGAAAATTTAAATAACTGACCGAAGAAGAAAGGCTCTGAATAGACAGAAGTACGGGCAAATTGTTTGGGAGGCCGAATCCCACCTTGAACTGTATTTCCATATAAGAAGAAGAATATTTTTAAAAAGACCTAATATTTCTATGAAAACTAAATGGAGACTTCTATAATCATTTTAAGCTTGATCAATGACAATTGTTAGTCATTGTGGGATTGTCTAAAACTATTTTATTGTACTTTTGTGAGAGAAGGGCGTACCTTATGTTTTAAGTAAATGACTGTGAAATATTGGAAAGCCAGAAAAACACTTGCCTCCTTCATAAAATATTGGAGGAGAGACTGAAAGTGCCTTGTATTCTGTCTGTATATATCATTGTCTAATATTTCTTATTTATTCCCAAAAAAGGCTATCACTTGTGACTAATATGATTTGAATTCACCGAAGCATAGACGTTGTCCTTGGTTATGTTCTGGTCCAATAAATTTATTGTTGAAGTACAGTTTTTCTCTTTTTTTTCTCCCTACCTGACTATTTCTGGAAAAAGGGTATTCTACGGGCAACTAACCTATTCGAGAATGGAAAGGAAGAAAAGTTCGAGATCAGCGTGTGAATGTGTGCAGTCTGGTTACCACCATAATCTTTTTGCATTTTTTATACGGTTGCTTTTATTATATTTTGTGACTTTTATAAATGAAATAATTTATTCGCCCATTTTTAATAAATCTTTAATTAAAAACTTTTGGGTTGGGTCAAAATTAAAACTATTAAATCACATGAAAGATTATTAATGAAACACTTGCTGAATAAAAATGAATTAATGTTGCTATGGATATTTTTTTTAATATATAGCTATTTTAAATACTTTAATTCTTTAGTAGATTAAGTTTTAATCGGCCCTAGTCTGTAAACATCCATAAAATAAGAAGTAATAATGTCTAAAAAGAAATTTAAAGCAAAAGTTTCAAAGGAAATGAAGATGTGTTACGGGACAATCGCAATACCCCCTAAGCCAGTTTTCAAGACCAGAGAAATACCAATTTTAATTCTGAAAAAGCTGTGTGCTTTGATGGACGAATATACTCCTACTGAATCTAATATCAAAGGTGGACTGTTCTATGGAGCATCGGGTATTGGTTATACCCTTGTCCGATGCGCTGATTATCCTTTGTTCGAACCAATCAGAGAGCGTTTGTTACACAAGGCTAAAACATATGCCGACGCCAGCTATGAGTACACCATTTCCCATGAACTACCGCATATATCTCTTTTGTTAGGAAAAGCTGGAATTTATGCAGTTGATGCTGTTGTTTACAAGTTGCTAGGTAAGCCTATGATTTGTCCACTAATGATTTTCTAAATTTACCGTTTTACGACATTTTTACGCCTTGAATTATTTAACCAGTATGAGCCCTTTAGTTATATTTTTTTTCACAATAAATTTTTCTGTTTACTTTACGATACATACAGAACTTTTTTCCGACTAATCATACGTTTTCTATCTTTGTCTATCTTGGGCTACTGCTTTCGAATTTCGTTGAAGCAGCTCTTGAAGCAGCTTTGTTGATTCCATCTATCCATCAGTCTTTTTGCCTCTCAGTTGTTCTCTAGCCAACTAGTGTGATAACCATTGTTGTGCAAAGGTTTTCTGATAGGTTGCTTCAAGCTACACCTCCCACCCATCTTAACCACTTTGCCTTCATATCATCTAGATATTTATCCGGCCACCCATGTATCTCGTATTTTTAATTTGTTACACAAAATTGATAATTAATACGGAATTTCAGCTATTTATTAATTATGGGTAAGTTTACCAATATTTCAGACTATTCATCAATAAAATTTAAACATCATGAAAATTTTAAACGGTTCATCTATGATTTTTTTGCTCCTCCAATAGCTTTTGGCTAGTATGGAATGTGAAATAATTGAATGTCATGTTTTTCATAGAATGCTCGAAACATCAGTCAGGTTTCTGTTTTTACCTATTCAACGGCCATATTTTTTTTTCGCTTAGTCTACAAAATTAGAATTATTGAAATTAACGGTATAGGTCTGCACAGAGGCCCTAGACAGAAAAAGAAAGACAATGGCACACAGGAGAGATTCTCTGTCCCCCGTTTTGTTCGTTAGACTATCTGCGACGAGATAATCCATATATGGAAAGTAAAAAGAGATTTTACGAACAAGCACGTTGGCTAGAACACTGACGACAGGATATGTCAGCGAAGAAATAATTCCTGGCATCCACCATCTCTTAAAATCACATAAATTAATGACACACCAAGAAAGATCAAGTATCTTGAGATAACAACATGTTGCGTTAGGTGTTGCCGTGATGACGGATGTTATGTGTAATAATTTGCAAAGCTAAAGACATCGTAACTTTTCAATGATACATTTAGTACTGACAGATGTAAGCTTTCCTTTTTTCATCAGTTATTTATTTAATTTATTGGTATTAAAATATTTTTTTTACTCATTTTATATTTATCCTACTTCTTTTTTTTTTTTTAATCTCAAACATGTTTTCTCTTTTCTAGAAGTTATCACTTTTTTATTGCAATAAATTATAAATTTTCTTCTTTTTATAGTCTACGTGTACAAGTTTACGATTTTTTAAATTTTATTTTATCAGTAAATTTTCTTTTTCATGTTAAAACTAATACTTTTCTTTCATATAAAATCATAGTATTTTTTTTTTTTACATCTTATATTATGTCACATCTTTTTCTCAAATTATGACTGTTGTATCTTCTATTCATACCCAAAAACTTTGCTCAAACGAAATATTCCTTCTTCCTCTATATCCACTCCAAATTCTACCTGGACCAGATAATGTCTTGCCTAAATTCCTTATCCATCTTAGCAGTTCTTCAAAACAGGTGCTGATTCAATTCCTCAATGAGATATGGGGGAAAACTGAAGTAATCCCAATCATAAAGAAAGGAAAACCTACTGATAATGTGGTAAACTACAGACCTAAAGCGCTCACTGGTGTATTTTGCAAGTTACTTGTATAGATGACACTGAAGAGACTACAAATTTACGTTGAAAAGCATAATTTCATCTCACACAAAACTAAGCAGGTTTTAGACGATATCGGAGTACCATAGAACATGTAATACAGCTCTCAGAGGATATTAAAGATGAATGGCATCGCAAAGTTCGTTTGGAGTTTTGGTTGATTTCAACATTTTGGTAGGGTTCAGATGAAGAAACTACTCGAAAAGCTATTTATTTTACATCCTCCTCTCCTTGTGAATGTCTAGGCAAGGGATCGGATTTATTATTTTTTTTAAATTTGTAAAAGATCTAATTCTGATATTCATAAGACATTTCGATTAGCGTAGATAGCCTGGACCTTGGTCAAATATAACTTATAGAGGTTCAGCATGAGTCATCAGCTTAAAGTAGCTTAAGTCAATTATCTGAGGTCTCTAAAAGCTCACCCGATCTTATCAACTGTCCTGTCTCCAAAAGGTAAACATTTTTTTGAGAAAATAAAACACTCAAAATTTGAAATTTGCCCCAGATTTCAGAGAATCGTTCCTCTATGCGGCGCCACTTCTGACTTTGCTATTTTGACGCCTTAACACTCTTGGCTACCACAGCCTGTCATACGCGTCTCAAAACAACAGTTGATATCCCACGAATGTTTTGAATAAATATAAATCATTCCATACATTTTAGTATTTCCGTTAACATAAACCCCAGGTTTGCAGAAAGTGATAAGAAAGATAGCAGAACTACACCCTTGATTTTATTTCTCTTCCCTATCATCTTTTAAACATTTTCACATGTTGATGATATTTTAATTTTAACAGGTTTCCATCCAAAAGCAAGAGAATGTCTTCACCTATTCCATGCCCAAGGAGCACACTGCCTAGTCCCTGATTATTCAACTGATGGTGGTGAAGACTTGTGGAACGGTCGTGCTGGATACATTACAGCCGCCTTATTTTTAAAGAAGTATTTTGAAGAATATTTCCCGACTAAATATTTTTATCCATATCTTGAACCGATGATCAAATCATGCAAAGAATATGCCAAGAAAATACACTCCACTGCACCTCTAGCGTACTCTTATTACAATACACAATGCACAGGTATTGGAAAAAGTAACTAGACATAACTTCCTTGTTTATAAATATAATTACTTTAAATTATATTAATACTTTGAAGGGTTGTCTTAATCTGCAATATCTTATTCTCCAGATTTAAATTCTTCATGAAACTTTTTTTTTTGTATGTATACAAAAAAATATTAATTATTAAAAATGTACATGTCTCATAGATATACTGTGTAAGTTTGAAGAGGCGTATTTCAGCCTGAACTCAAGTTATATTATAGACAAGGAAATAACTGCCTCTTCTGAATACCTTGAGGTTGCATTGAGAAACATTTCATGCAACCACCAATGTTGATGATCGTAAAAGATAAATTCCTTTTTAATTTTATAATGATGGCCGCGACTGAAGTTCAATATTCGTATCGTTCTGTCTTTGCTAGTTTGTTATTTGATTAACATCTCAAATCCTGTTCTCAGACTTTGTAAACAGTGAGTTTATAAACAATTTAACATTTTGACGTTACAGTCAGTGAGGTGAGTGACTTTTTATTAACAATTAGCAACATTAAAGTGGTGCTCGTTTGCTAGATATAGCTTACGTGGCGTACTATGTTCAGACGTACTATGTTCAGACAACCTTGAGTTCGTATCTAAGACAGTGTATTTTTTTCACCTTTTTTTTTATTTTATAATGATTATAATTATAATCATTATTTTATTTTAATTTTTTTTTACTGTCTCTTTATTTTATTTATTTACAGAAAATGTTTTTTAGTTGTTGTATATAGATTAGTTGTTAAGTATTTGTTTTGTAAATTTTCTTATTAGTGATACTTTTTTTATATATATATATTATTATTTAGATGTATGGAATCTGATAAGAACATTTCTTGTGACGAATCAGATGAAGAGATTCCTTTCTCCGAAATCAGTGAGACGGATTCTCAATATTTAACAAGGCGAACTCTCCAAAAGCGCCATAGAACCTCTACCCCCGGGTCGGCGGGCATCTCACCTAATAAAAAAAAATCCACTAAAACAAAGCAATTACTCAAAACAAATAAACAATTAAAAACTAACAATAGTAATAATTCAACTATGAAACCTGACACTAAACCACCTACTAACACATCCAGCAACAATTCTGTTGCAGCCAATAATAAAAGTAACGAAATCACTGAACCTAGAACTTATACCGAACCAGAGCCACTTCCGATTTATATAAGCAAGATTGACAACTTCATCCAGTTCCTTCATTAAACCCACGAACCTCATGTTCGCTGTGATAAAATCACATTCTATCGGCCTTAATGGCTGGTATTTCCATTATATTAATCAGATTGAGGCGTTCTGAAATCTTTGCAGTTCTACTTCTCTCTATAAGTTTCCCCTTCAGAATTCACTATTTCTTACCTCAAGGAAAAAAACATAACAACATCGTTTATTCTTAAAATAAAAATTCAAACCCTTCCCAAAGATTTCCATCCAGTCTCAATCCTTTCCAATGTCTATATATATCGTTTACTAATCTTTTATTATATTAGTCATACTTAATGCTGTGGACATTGTTAATGTTATGTTTGAATGCAGTACTAGACTCAAGATCTAACATTGTTAATTATACCATTATATTTATTTGTACAGGAATTTCCTTAGACAAATAAAATAAACTATACTAATACTAATACTACTACTTTACTATTCAACTTCTATATTTATTAATGCATAGCATAAATCAATCCTTCATTGTTCCCATCAGAGGTGCCCAGAAGGGGATTTCATGGCGCAAGTTGCCCCATCAAAGTTTTTGAGGGAACACATTTTGATGGGATTTTGAACTTTTGAGAGGTCGCATTTTGACGGAGTTATAAATTTTCAGAGTGGGAAGCTTCAAAATAGAGAACTAGGTGAAAAACGTGAGATAGACACAGTTAGTTTAACTGTTTTTGATCTACGATTTTTCTAATTATACTTTCGCTTGCACTGTTTTTAAGAAGAGGAGGGTAATACAATTTTTGGAGGAGTGATTGGTGTGTTTTGTTTGCCAAAATCCTAGAAGAATTTTATTTAATTTGTACTAAGCATTCCTAAATGAATTAATAATTGTGGGTTGATGGTTGGCTGTAGTGAATAATGAAGAGAAGGATAGTTGGGGTGATCAGTCAAAATAAAAATGGCAAAAATAAATAATAACATTTATTTTAACAGTTGTCTTTGTACATTGGAAAATGTTAAAATAAGTATTATTGTTTATTTTGGCCATTTTTATTTTGACTGAGCATCCCAACTATCCTTCTCTTCATTAAGTGGATTAAGATTAAAAGCTGTAAGAACTCAGGCCATTGCCACTGGATCCAAACCCTTCTCAGATCCAATTCCAACTTTCCTAATATCTAAATGACTATACCAACCCACAGGCGGATTTACGGGGGGGGGGGCTTTCTGGCTGAAGCCCCCTCCCCCAAAAAAACGCTAAAATATAACCATGTTTTATAGAAAAAAAAATATTAAAAATTATCTCTTAAAGTATTATTGAATATTTAATAGTTGACCGTTGCATTATAAAGGAAGGAGATGGTCCGGGGTTGCGGTCATAAATTGGCTAAATAGTGGTAAAACTATTTTATTGAAAGCGGCAATAAAAAGCCGCAGGCTTTCAATAAAACTATTTAGCCTATTTATGACCGCAACCCCGGACCATCACCTTCCTTTTTACACTATTATTGTTCGTGTAATTACATTAATTAGGACTTCAAGAATCAAATAAACACCATTTCATATTGGTAATTAGTATCTTTCTTTTTTTTTTTCAAATTAATTATCGTTATATATATGAAAAAAAATCTTTCGGGCTGAAGCCCCCCCAAAAAAAAAATTAAATCCTTGTTCCGATTGTATACCAACCATCACTTTCAGCTCATCAGTTAAAAACTTAAGACATTATCATAGACCAAATCCTCTCCTGGATTCTCCAGATGGTCATTTTGTAACCTGGAACTATTTTAAAGTTTTCTACCTAAATCCATTCGTAGACTTAGTTTTCTTCCTCATCTTTCTCTAACTTTCCTACGGCTTTATGGTGTAAGGTGGCCTCTTGGTGGATGCCATGGACAGGCTAACAAGAAAGTTAAATAGCCCAGTAAGATTTGTTAATGGCTCACTGAATCCCGAGAAATTCCCGTGTTTCTGACTAGGAACATTAGTTTATCAGATAATGAACAACCATCCCCTTCCTAGGACTACAATCTTTTCAAATTCAAAGCTTCAATCCACTCCCTTACCATAAGATCTTGACCCTCTTAACTTTACACGCCTTTGCATGGATCCATCTCTTTTCAAAAATCAATTATCTTTCTTACCACTTCTTCTGGAATCTCTTCTCTCCTAAACTCTGAATGGCTCTTCCTTAACGATGTTTAAAACTCTCCTATTCCAATTTATCTTCACGAATAAATCAGACGTTTGTTAACTAACAAGAATTTGTATTATATTTAAAACTTTTTTTTTTCTTTTTTTTTTATTGTAATATGAAATACGTGTTCATATTACTTTATACAGAGCCAAAGTAGTTATTAGTTTTGCAGTGTTTATTGTAAGATCTTTACGATTTTACTTATTCATTTAAAATTAATTATCTGTGTTACACTACTTTAGAATAAACTCCTAAATTTGTTTTTTTAAATCTGTCTTAAGGTATAGATTACTAATGTTTTTATTTCAATAAGAGGTTGATGGTAGATTTTAGTGAATAATTGAAGAAAAGTTAGTTTGGGTCTTCAGTAAAAACAAAAAAAAAAAATTTTTTAATTTTACAAAAAAAGATCTTGTCCTCCTGTATATTCCATTTGTTATTATTTTTAATGTTTTTTCATGTTTTGTTATTCTCTGACTATTCAGCTTTAATAAAATACCAAGTATGAGGAAATTAAACCAAATACTGACTCTCAGTGACCAAAAAACTAACTAAAGTCAAAGTCGTCAGTCCGCCATGTTTGGACGCCATTTTGGGGCAGTGCGTTCACTTTTTTTTGTGGGAACATTGGTTTTTTTAAATAGATTATTACAAGGAACACAACGATATGCAATTTATAGGGATGTGTTGGGGGGAGAGGGAGGAGGGGTGCACGGTAGGGGTGTCTGGCCCACCGTGTATCTTATGGGAACTGTCTTGAGTCCGAAATGTTGGAAAATATAAAAATAAATATAATTTATTTATTTCTAATTTTTTTTTTTACTTTCTTACTAATACTTGGTAAGGAAAGTATTGCAAAGAAAGTATGCAGTTTTTGAAGGATCTAATTGATTTTTGAAGGAGCCCCCCTGAGTCCGAAAAACATTTTTGACATTGGTCTGTCTGTCTGTGCCAAGATTTTCTCGGGAACTACTGAACCGATTTTGTTGTTTCTTTTTTTTATTTTGTAGAGTTTTGACTACTGATGCATGTGGCACAAATTGGGTGCTCCATGCTCAATAGCTACTGCGCAATAAATGAAAAACATGTTTTTCTATGGACTGAACCGCAAAAACTCCTCAAACGATTTTGACGAAACTTTCCTATAATGTTCTAATAATTGTCTATTCAATTTTCGTATATGGAATAAATTCTCGAGAAAATGCAGAAGAAAAGGAAAAGTTATAAAGAAAAGAAAAATGTTTTGGGGTCTAACTGGCTAAGCATATATTCTATGGTAAAGTTTATAATAAAACTTTTGAAAGGTAATTAAATTACTAATAAAACAAAAAAAATCATCGGAATCGAACCAGTATTATTGATGATACAGCATATTCTATTTTCTATTTTAATCCATTACTTCCTACCTATACTAGGTAAGGAAAGTATTGCAATCGGGTCAAATTTCCGATATGCGGTTTTTGATAGATCTATAGGTATCAGAGCCCCCGGAGTCCCGGAGTCGAAAAAACACATTTCAAGTCATTCGTAATAATTCAAAATCGTTCATTTTGGACAGCTATTAAGTTTATCGATTAAATCGTATTCAAATCTTTTCTTTGATCAATTTTCAGGAAAATAAATCTAATTCAATTTGTTTTTGTTTCTTGATGGACATACCTAAAGATATAAAAACTTCTGAAATAGGTAGGAAAGTCCTGTGAGTGGACACACCAGATTTTTTTTTTACTGAACACCCCAACCAACTTGTTTTCTATTATTTTTATTGTTTTTTTTTTTACCATTTATTTAGTTCTATATTTTTACTTACACTTACCTGTATAAGCAAAATCGAGTAAGGAAAAGTATTGCGATTGTGAAAATATATGAACCTTTCAAGGAAATACACCTTTTGAAGTCCTCTGTGTCCAAATAAGTCGTCAACAAGACACAAGTCCCACAAAGTGGTCAGTGTGTTTATGAATATGGACAGTTAATCTCAAAAACAAAACTTTTGAAAATTAAATTACAGAATAAATTGATGAATATTTCGCTTATGAAATCACATTATCCACTTAAAATTAGTTTGACGACTTTTGACCTATTGATGGAAGGGCATTGAATAACTTGTAACTCTATTTTGACAAAATGTTATTAGAGAAAAAAATTAAGAGTTTAAATTCATGTAAAAAGTTATAGCGATATAGTTCCTATATTTTTACTATGTAGTACAATCCTAATTAGTGGATTAAAAATATAAATGCATTTTGTATATAGAACTCCGAGATTGAGACAGAGCTCAGATGAGCCAACAGGTTCATACAGACTGATAGGAGTTATGAGATTTTTATTGCCTACTGGTGATATAATAAGTAGCTTGTGTGTTATTTTGATGGTCTTAATGAGTTTTTGCGTTGATAAATATGATCGAAGTTCATAAATGTTTAATTTTATTATAAATGCACTTAAAGATCATTTTGTAATAGACCAGTTTTGACAGAAAATAATTTCTATTGAAAGTATAGTGGTAAGTGAAAGTTGTTTAATACAAGTACCATATTTATTTGCAGTCAAGATTGGTTGCCTAGAATATTAATTTAACTTTTCTTTCTATTATATTATTTCATTAGCGAATAATTTGTCTCACCTTTTCTCATCTGTTTTTCAAATATTTTTTGATAATTATAGTTATCACATATACATACATACTTAGATATATATTTCAATTTTTCTTTATGTAATCAGTATTATGTTTAGAATTAATCCCTTTTGTTTCATACTCCATACTCAATTGTTATTCTTAAGGAAGATGGTCCCAGAATAAAGTTGCTATTTATATTCTATTCTATTTATTTTTAGTGCGCTAATTATTCCATTGAACATTTGAAACAATAAACATGATGTTAGAAACAGATAAAAATGATAAAAACAATACTTATTTAAATTTTAAATAACAGTTTCATATTTTTATTTTTTGTTAGGGTTTCTAAAAAATGAATTTGCGACTAGATCAAAATCTTCAGATCAGCCACTAGTCTTGAGGTGTTAGCAATTAATGGATTAATATGCTGAGTCACAAAATAGAAACTCTGAAAATTTAGATGTTTAAGTATTTATCAAAAATTGATATACAAATTGATGTAAATAATAGCATGTATTTTGTGCATTAATGAAAAATTTATTATTTATTAATTAATCAAATTTTTTTCTCCTGGTAAAAATTTATTTAGGATGCAATATTAAGTATTTATTCATTTAATAGGATTGTTACACGGACTTGGTGGAATACTTATGATCATACTTTGTTTTCCTTCATATTTGGATAAACACCCAGGCTTGGATGAAGAAATAAAACAAACAGTTGACTGCATTTTACTCCGCCAAAAAAGTGATGGTAAATTCTTTCCTCTAATGAACAGTGATGTTGTGATTCCAGGGGACGTAGTAAAATGGAGAAGTGGAGCTTCTGGTAATAATATAAAATAATAATTTTAAACAATAATCTAGATAATGATATGAGATGTATAGTTTAGAGAAATATATTTTAATAAATTACTTGAGTTTATTTATAATATGTTTAGAGGAATATCTCAATAGGTCAATTAAAGTATAACAGAATATTATAAAAATTGAAATATCATCTAATAATCAGGTTGGTGAATATTAATCATTAGTCAAGAATATCATTGAAAATTCATTGTTGGTATGGTTTGAATCTAATACATTTTTCTTTTCCATTCAAGTTTTGATACTAGTTTCCTTATTTGCTTAGATAGTTTTAATATAATTTCATAAAATTACTATAAATTTCTTTTTCTTTTTCTTCTACTTTAACACTACAACCCACATGGGGTCAAGCCCTCCTTTAACAGCAGTCGCCAGTCATTTTTATTCAAAGCAGCCGATTTCCAATCTCTTGTATTAAGGATAGATTTTGCTTCAGCCACCACATCATCAGCCTAACATAATTTGGGTCTTCCAATTGGTCTTCTTCCGAATAGCTGTTCAGTGAGGAGCTTCTTTGGAATTCGGATAGCAGGCATCCTTGCCACATGGCCTGCCGAGAGAAGTCGACCAATCTTAATAGACCTGACCACGTTACTCTCCTGGAAAAGTTCCTGCAGTTCTGCATTGGTTCTCTGCCTCCACTCTTGATTCGCACAAACTGGGCCAAATATTCGACAAAGGATTCAGCCTTCATATCGAAGAAAGACCTGCTCGATGGTTTTCGATATAGTCCTGCATTCTGAACCATAGGCTAGTGCTGGTCTTATTAGAATCTTGTACAAGCGTAATTTAATTAGCGGGAAAGGGATTTGCTTTTTCAGTGTCTCTGAAATCCGAAATAGCACCTATTGGTAGCCATTATTCTTCGATCAATTTTAGGTCTCATGTTGTTGGAGTTTACCCAGGTAGACAAATTTTTCTACCCATTCGAAGGTAAACTCTCCTATCCGAACGCTTGTAACTGCCCTTGTTTCACCTCGCACACCCGCCTTCATATACTTGGTCCCGGTTTTGTTTTTAGTGAGGGCAAGCCTTGTTACAGCTTTTTCAAGGTCGAGGAAGGCATCCCTCATGGCTGCAAATGACCTACCTTTGATATCTAGGTCATCAGAAAAGCCCAGTCAGTATCTATTTAATATAATTCCTCCCACTTGTATATGTGCTCTTCTGTCTAACTCTTATAAATCTCTCTGCAATCTCCAGGGCAAGGTTATAGAAGAGGCAAGCTAGGCAGCCATATCTCCTTGTATCTTCACCATACATTCTCATAGTCATTCTCAACAAATTTATTGATTTATACTATTATATTGATTTCTGATTCACAGTGGTATGCTTTTGATTATGAAAATCATTTAAGTTGTTTTCCTACTAGAAAAGTTGTTTTTCATAATTAAATATTGCATTTTTAGTACATTAGTACTAATTGTATTTTATGGACTAATAAATAATGCTTAGGATAATTGGTAAAGCTTGTTAAAAAAAAAAATTTTTTAAATTAAATTTATTTCAAGTAGTGGAAACCATTGGGTATGATACTAACCTTTTCGTAATTTGTTTCTTTCAAATTATTGAAATTTTAAAAACATTGTCAATTTCACAATCAATCAGTTATTCAGAAATTCGTTTTGTTTTTTCTATTTTATTTATATTTGACTACAAGACTGGAAGTTGTTCGCTCTTAGCTGCAGTACAAGTTATATATAGGAATTGATTTTTATATTCATATTGAACATTTTTTCTATAAGAAAAAACATATTGCTGCAGTATTCAAACTGAAAGACGACTGGCAGTTGTTGTTGTTGGTGGCCTTGCCGAGTGTAGCACCAATTAAGAAGAACAAGAATCGAACTGAAACTTTTGTTATAGAAATAAATGAAAAGCCTCGTAAAATTAGTATTGGCTAGCCAATTTTTCTTCATTCATGCTTTATTAGAAAAGTGTTAAGAATCATTTTGGAAAATCCCCAGTCTAATCCTAAAGATAAATAATCATACCAAATTGCTGTCTACACCTGGATTTTATTAAGTGGATTGAAATTTCATGATATTGTGATTGATACTTACAACTAGATGTTTGCTCTTAAACGTATTTGCTGAAGCTTTCTTTGATTATTTTCAAATTCTGTGCTATTACACTTAATTAATCAAAATAAATGATTTTTTTTTAACTTCTTTAAAATCCAAAGACTTAGGATTAAATCTTGATATTTATCCTTTACTCTCTACAAAAGTGGTATATTGTTTTGGAGGAATATATTACATTACCTCTTTTTACCTCCCTAAGTAGATGAAAACATCCTACATTTCATTATTAAAAATCCCTCCAATCTGTGCTCCTATCTTTCTACACTCCTTATAGTATATTTGCCATGCTCACCTTGTTCATGACCCATAAAACTTTGATAGCTTTTTTAATCTTTCATATACTGAACTGTTAGCCTATCCCGACTGGAATCGGACCAATGCTGCTAGACTCAAGAATGTTAAAGCAAGCAAAACTGTAAAATGCTCAGCCATCACAACCTCAATTTACTCTACATACAAGGAGGACCAAAACCGTTGTGGTTGCGTCTTCTTTTCTCCTTAAATCAAGCTCTGGATATTTCTAACATGTCCTGAACAATACCCCAAGCTCATTGCATACTTCAGTAAAAAACCTTAGAATCGCCTTAGATGGAACCCTTCCATGGAAACCCAATCCAAAATCTCCTCCCTTGTTTTTCACTCTATTGAATATGGCTGTCTTGTGAATGAATGATTGGGAATGAATCTTTGGTGAAAAGTGTTAAATTTGTTTTTAGAATCATCAAGGGTAGAGTATGTGTATAACTGGGGTTTACGTCTCATTAAAATGGCTCTATCCATCTTACACTTGTCACTAATTCCTTGCATTCTTCCCATACCAAGTTATCAGAACTCATTGTACCTCCTACATCCTACAGAATATGCAATTTAAATCTTCCATTCAACCACGTCTCTAATGTTTCCATCCTTCTGACTTGTACCCTCCACCAAACTGAACTAGTATGTTCAAGGAGTCCTTCATGATCTGAGCTAGGTAGCTAAGCTTCCTCTGGAACCCTATCCTTCCAACCATATGTCATTTATTGATAATTTCCTCATTCAAATCCCTCCTTTTCTATCATCATTTCCTCAACTAGTCTGATTAATATTGTCAGTATCAAATTACATATTATCAAATGTTTTTCAAAATACTTCATATACATTTGTTATTGTTCATGTTTTTTAACTGTATTTATATTGTTTTAGTTTTTGATAAAATGGCAATTCCAAGATTACAGGCCACTTTGAGGAACTTGACAAATAAAAAAATTTAAGCCAATAAAGATATCCAGGTTGTTTATATTTACTAAGACTGATTTCCTGGTGCTCTTAAAATGCTTATATAGAATTAGAATTGTCCTTCCTTGAAATTTCAAAATTTGTTTATGGTAATGACAACTGGTATTATGGTAATTAATTATGCTAAGATATTAATTATGCTAAAATAATGACTTTAAATCATATTTATTGTTCTCCAGGTTTTAGCATAAAGTTATTTTTACTTAATTTCAGAATGGAGGACAAGATTACACACAATACAACTTACAATTACCGAAATTGACTAAAAGTCTATTCTGTAACTAAAAGTGCAAATAAATAACCATAAAACTTTTTCAAGAACGATTTTAACAAGAATGAAATACTTTTTATTATTACTTATTCACTTTTCAGTAAAATAATTCATAAAATTAATCAGTAAAATAATCCGAGCCGAAATGTCATTACCTGTTACTAAAGCAAACGGTTATGGTAATGACCGCTGAAGGGGTTTTGGTTTTTATAAAACATAATTTATTAAGCATTGATTAAATAGTCTAAACTGGTAGTATTTTATGTTGCCCTTGACAACAGCTTTCAAGATATAATAATATGAAATTGATAACCTTTAACATTTTTTAAAAGTAAAATGATATGGTAATGAACAATGAAAAAGTACAATTATGAATCTTGATCTTGATTGCTGGATGGTTGGTGTGTTATTATTATTACTTTACGGCACTACAACCTGGTTACAGAACTTGGCTCCTTCAACCATTTCCTCAAATTCTCATGGTCTTGCGCCAATGCCGTCCAGTTCTTAACTCTCAGCATGCTGCGGGCGTCTTCTGCCACACCATCCGACCATCTCAATGTTGGTCTCCTCTTCTCCTTGTTCCATAGGTTGGCTGTGCAAGCAATATTTTAGGCATTTCTCCATCCTCTATCCTGGAAATAGGCCTCACATATCTTAAACACCTCAACTTCATTGCTTTCACAATGTCAGCTTCTCCGAAAGCATTATACAGCTCCTAGTTAATGCGCTGCTTCCACTCCTCTGCAACTGTCACTCCCAAAGAATATGGCTGGGAACTTTTCTTAAAAAACTACAGACTCCAGATAAATGAACTCTGAAACCTCAAATTTATGTAGTTTATTTATTATTAACTGTACACAGGTGGTAGGAAAGTTAACTACCTTGGTCTTGAAAATGGCCTGTAATCTTGGATTTACCCTTAATTGTTTTTTCTATATATTATATTTTTATTTAATTTTTTATTATACTTATGAATACCTATTGACAGCAAACATAGAAAGAGTAGTCACACTGTTTTGTTCATTATATGATGCTCATTTAATTTGTTTTAAAGAGACTGTTCCCAGAATAATAAAAATATTTTTCATTTGTTAGTTGTTTTTTGTTTTCATATAATTTTTAAAGTAATATAGTTTAGAAATTTTCTTTATAGCTTATATGCCATGATTATTTTATATTTCCTGATCATTTTAAATTTATTAATAATTTTCTCATGAATTAACTGTTTAATTTTTCGTAGAAAAGGCAATGTTTGAGTGAGATGAGCCCATATTTTATTTTATTTAAATTAATTGATTATTCAGAATTGGTTGAAATATATGGGATAATTTTGGACTTCTGAACTAACCTTGAGCAAATTATTCTTTAGGTCTTTTGCATCTAATGGCCAAGGCCTATTTAAGGTGGAAGCATTCAAGATATTTATACAGCTGCATGTTGATTGGTGATCTTATTTGGAATTATGGACTTGAGTTTCTTCTCACTGAAGGTCGTAATGGAAGTGGCCTTGGTAAACTTTATTTTAAAAATTTCTATGCGATAATATTGGGATATATAATTTTACTGGGATATTTTGTTTGAATTATTTTCTTGGTTCAAATAAATTATCTGTTTAAATTAATTATTGTAAGTTTTGCATAATTTATTAAAATACAATGATTCATGGCTTCTATGTGCTTACTGAGCTTATTTTTTATTTTACTATGTATTTAAATTTTTAAATTAATGTTCATTAATAATAAATACATTTTTAAGATTTCAGTTGAAAAATATAATTTTAATATTTCTCCACATATTCTTTAATTTTTTGTAATGACTTACAGCATAAGATTTCTTAAAATAATAATTACTTGTTTAAACTTGATTATATATTTTCAGCATGCACTTCCTTAATAGATTAGCTAACTTTGTTTAAGTCCAGCTTAATATAATATTATGCTGCCTCAGTAGTTCAATAGAATTATTGGACTTTTGGAATAAAAATAAAGGTGATAATCAGAGCTCCGATTTTTATACAGTAAAACTAAGAGATTATATCATATAATATGTGATAAAAAAACCAAGCAAATTATCCCCAAATATCCAATAAGACAGCTAAAATATGTAAATATACTATGATACCTACATTAAGAGCCTAAAAAAGAAATTGCAGGAAGGATAAAAATTAAATGAAAACTAGTTCAATTTTTGTACATGCGTTTTGTTTTGTTGATGAACCAAAATAATTAAAACAATGAAACAGAGAAAAAAAAACAGCAATAAAAATATATAGGTGATTATATTAACACCGTAATAAATAACATTTTTAAAAACTGAAATATTAAAGTAAAACAAAATTGTGATTATTAACAAAAGAAAAGCAGCAGTTGGTAATTGTATTTAAAAATTATAAGTAATTTATAATATTAAAAATAAATGAATACAAGGAAAATGAATATGATATGGTTAAAATACAGAATAAATTAACACATAAGGAACTAAGTGTATTGACAAAATGCTAATATGATGTGAAATAAAATATAATGTTAGATACTTTTTAAAAATTGTAGTATGAAACTCATAGAAACTTTAAATTAGTAATAAATGAAAAATAGCAATGACTTTATTTAAAAACCAATATATAGGATGAAGAAAATAATAATAAAGTGGCTTAGCAAACCCAAAGGTTCGATGCTGATACCACCAATCGATGTCTACATTCTTCCATTCATCGGGCACTCTCCAAAACCTCGCCAGATCAGCCTTAACACAATCTTCCCACCTATGCTTTGGTCTAACACTTGAACGCTTACCAGTCAGCACAGCGCATATTAACAATATAAGCAATTTTACATGCCCACTTTATTTGCCTCAACCTAATAATTTCAATTATATTAACCGGGTATAGTTCACACAATTCAGCATTGTGTTGCTCCCTAAATTCTGTGATTGACTTATCCGTCTTCGGTTGAAATATTCTACACAATACTTTATTTTCAAAAATCTTAAGACATTGCTCATCCCTTAATGTAAGCAGCCTCCTTTCTCATCCATGAAGAGCAGAAGGAAGAATAATAGTTTTGTAAATTTTAATTTTTATGTTTTGAGACAACAGCTACGAACTAAGTAGTTTTGAAACTGAAAAATAGCAAGGATTTCCCGTCTTTAATTTAGCCTTAACTTCTTCAGCAATTTTGTTTTTTCTTATTATAGTGGAGTTTAAATATCTAAACTTCTCTATAATAATAAATAAAACGCAAATGGATTAGTTGATGATATGTTATATATTAAAATTTATTTATGAATTTCTAAAGTTGTTTCTTAAAAATCTAACATAGTACCATATATGATACCAAATTGAAACATTTTCATAATAAGAAAATGATTGCTCTACATTAACAGATGTGATTCAGGAAACTTTATGTACACTTCAAATTATTGGCTAATTGTTTTTTACAGAAACTTGTTTTGAACCATATCTGTTTCATCTTTAGTATAGTGCCAATTCAAGATTTCAATTTTTAATAAAACAATACACCACGGGCGGATCTACGTGGGGGCTTTCGGGCTGAAGCCCCCCCAAAATGGAAAAATATAACCATGTTTTATGGTTAAAAAAATTTTAAAAATACCTCTTAAGGTATTATTGTTCGTGTAATTACATTTAAAAGTACTTAAGGAATAACTTAAACACTATTTCAAATAGATAGTTAGTTTCTTTCTGTTTTTCCAAAGTAATTATCGTTATTTTTATGAAAAAAAAAGGTTTCGGGCTGAAGCCCTCCCCAAAATTAAATCCTGGATCCGCTAGTGCAATACACTTACTTTTAGAATTGAAAAGTTTAATTGGCATAAGAAAAGGAAATGAAAAGACAGGAACAAAAAAATCCATTTTCTAACAAGACAACTGAAGATAGCATTATTTAGTTGATTAATTGTTGATTGAAAATGAAACTATGATTGTAATCTGGAATTTCATTTTGAATTTGATTTTTCATTTTTATTTTTTTACTTGATTGAAACTATTAAATACGCAATAAAATTTGATTATTTTCTTCTGAGCGCACTGATTTGTAAAGATATTTTATCAAAATTAAATACTGCATGCAAAAAATTTGCAACTGCATAAAAGTCTGGGCCTTGCACAGAATAGATTATGTATTATAGGTAATTGTGCCTGCAGCAAAGTATTTAGAATCACTTAGCAGCATCTATATTCATGTAGTACATAGAAACGTAATATTTACTCATAATGATCAAATAGTCTCTTTTCACTAGTTTCATAAGTTAATGTCTCCTACCCATTGCTTGGTGCTTTAAGTTCTACCTTACATTGTTTTTAGTTTAATCTATCACTGAATTGATACATTAACAAATATTTTTTCAGGACTTGACCATGGCTTAGTGGGGAACCTTTATGGACTACTGATTCTTTATCGATTGACAAAGTATCCAATTTATCTTCAGCAAGCTCACTCATGCTCATTGGTATTAAAGGATGAAAAATACTTTAAGGATTTACTACACAGAGATAATGTTTATTCTCTTTTCAATGGATTATCTGGAATCATTACTTACCTTTTAGATACCATTAATATTGAGCACGCTGAATTTCCATGTGTGCATGTATTTGAATTTTATGAAGAATAGTAATGTTTTTATCAATGAGCAATGCCTTTTATTAATCATTCACCATTATTATGTATATTGTTTATAAATTATGACAACAGTTATTTAAACTAGTTCTACCTTCTGTTATTTTCTCAAATTTTTCCATCATCATCTATTGATTTTTTAAAAATATATTTTCAGAAATAAGTAGAATTTGCATAGATATTTTATAAACACTTTAGGAATCACCATAGAGAGGGAACTAGTTTTTTTCTAGTAGCTAGTTTAATTTTAAAGTTTAGTTTACAAGTTTTTTATTATCTGCATTATTTTCATTTATTTTTATAAATGATGAAATAAACAATTTATATTTCAATTAATGATTTTTTTGGAATGCAAGTCTTACAACCAGTTTTTGAACTCCTATTCTCACTAATTTAATTGAACTCGTTGCCTAATTTGAATTATTTAGTCTTTAATTCTGACTTGAATGATATTAGTGGTGTATTGTTTTTTGCTTAAGTTGAAATGAAGAATTCTCTTCATCCACCTTTTCTTCAGTTTTGGTGTCAGCTTATTTCATTCATTTCAATTGTGATTGCTTTTTTGTTCTTTAATCTTTCCCCTCCACATTTTCACTCTTTTTCTTATATTTTGGCCAGAGTTTGATGCTTTTTTTTTTAATCTATTAACTGAATTTTGATTTTAAATTTACAATTAACAGCAATTGGAGCAGTGTTGCCATGCTTCAGCCCATTTTAAGTATTACATTTTTAAGATACCATTGCAGCATTATTGCTTATCCAATAATTATTTAAACTAATAGGGATGATCCATTTTAGTTTTTCCTAGTCCATTAGTTATGGATTCATATTCCATGGTCGTTTTCTGTTTAATATACCTCCCCCACAAGAATATGGCAGTGTAAAAATGGAAAGAACTGCTAGGGGAGGAAACCCTTCTTCATCCACACTTCAATTGACCTTAGGTTGGATTTTTAAAATATTTTTTTAAAAAGGTTTATCTTTCTTTTTGTTTGCTATTGTTCAATGCAGTAAAACCACTATCTTTCTTTTTTCTTAAATCATAGTTTTCTGCCTGCTCCTCCCAAAAATAATATACCACTCAAAAAGCCACTTCTTTGAAGTCCATGGGTTCCTTTTCTTCCCTACCACTAATTTTTTTTTTTTCCTTCATCAGGACCTCCAGCTGCCAGAAGTTTCAGGTTTAAAAAAGAAATTATCAACAATGTCTTAATGACAATTGAATGAATATTTTGAATTAGTGTTCACTCAAGAGTTAAATTGATGATTTTCAGCAATGTGTCAATAAAACAACATTCCATCAAGTTGTTCTGTTTATTTCACATTTTAGGCCAGAGCTAAAATTAGGAATGAAGCTCTTCACGGACAATGGGATATAATTTATCTAGTTAAGATATGATGCTAATGTTTTATTTGTCTCAAGCTGAATCTATCTATGATCACTTGGATCCTCTATCTATGATCACTCTCTCTTCTCAAGAAATCTGTCCAGAAATTAACAAAAAAAAAAAAAAAAGCATATCTGAAAAGATATGCTAAATTTGTCAATGAAATGTGAGAAAATTTGGCCATAAGTCATTAAATAGGAAAATAATGGGAGTATTTTTATACAGTTAAAATACTCCTAATTATCATGTTATGAAATTTACTGACTATGGAGTATATGTGAATGGTTTGTTTCATGTAAAAAACACTTGCTATTATAACATTAGTAGATAAAGAGCTACAGTAGTGGCTTATGGGATGGTGTGGCAACATTTATTAAAAAATTGCCAAAAAATAAAATAAGGCCTAAGAAAAAAGTAAGCACGTTTATCATAAATACTTCTTGTGAGGAATTCTTATTAAAATTGTTTTATCATTTCTGAGGGTTAGATGATAAGTTTTAATATGTAAATACTCTTTAAAAGTGCCTCAGAATGCACATTCTATTTTTTTCTAAATAGCACATCCCTTCATTCCATTTCAGCAGACTCTCTCTCCAAGTCAGGTGTGTAGGTGATCATCGTATGGTTCATTTTCTGGCTTTATATGCTTACAAAGTTAAGAGCTGGTTACAGTTACTCTACCGAGGTCATTTAATTATTAACAAACATCAAGTTACTTATTTTTAAATATTACTAATCCAGTTACAGGAGTTGAATATGCTTTTATATATCTTCTTCCATAAATATAGGCCTTTACATCATTTATGTACAGATTAATGTATATTTGGTTAACCTAAATTATTATCTACATGTAGTAATTCAAATTGATAAAAAGATATTATGAAGGAAAAGAAAAATAGAAGAGAATAAGAGAAATGGGTGAACAAAAAAGAAATTATTTGGCATTGTGGTAAATATTTATATGTTGATTTTAAACTATTGGGTGGATGTTAATAGTGCAAATTGTTTTAAAATATCTCCAGTTCTCTTTGCTTTATCTGACAATAATAATACTTATCAGAAAGGTCAAAGTCCACTCCAAACTGTTTTTTTTTTTGGTTTTATTGGCATTAGTTTTGTTTGTGCTACAGCATAATGAATATATCAAAGAATAAAGTACATTTTCAGCATATTTTGCTTTTATGTTTTAAAAAAGGCAAGCGAGTTTCAGAGGCTTACTGAAAGATGAGTAAGGTATTCAGAGACGATGCCTTAACAGAACATACTGCTCATAAATATTTCGCCAAGTTTTGTTCCAGAGATATAAGTCTCGAAGAGCTGTCTGCCCACCAAGATTGATTTAAGAGATATCAAGACTAATCGCATAAGACAGGTTGCTACAGGTACACGAAATTGAAGAGACACTGAAAATAGGTTTTAGAACCATTCAAAGAGGCATTTAAAATAGCTTGGCTATGTGTCCTGTCCCGATGTTTGGGTGCCACACAAACTGACTGAGGCAAACCTAGCCAACCAAATATCAAACTGCAACTCACGTCTGCACCGGCATGAAAGGGATCCATTTCTGAAATGAATAGTGACGAGTGATGAAAAGGGGATCATCTACAACAATGTAGTTGCTTCCACAAGGAAAAAACAATTGATTGGAAAATATATTGCACGCAGCTTACAAAATTGGACCAAGCATTGCGATAGAAACCCCCAGAACTAGTCAATCACAAATATGTTGTATTCCATCATTATAATTCCACACAGCAAAAGTTATTGCAACTTGGTTGGGATGTTTTATTAACCCACTGTATTCATCGGACCTTGCACCATCCGACTACCACTTAATCCAGTCTCTCAAAAACTCCCTCAACAGGAAATCATTCTCTGATGAGAGAAATGTGAAAACTTATCTCGATCAGTTTCTCACTATTAAGCCCCAGATGTTTTATGAGAATGAAATAAAGAAATTATTAGAAAGATGGTAAGAGTTCATTAACATAAACGACGAATACATTATTAATTAAATTTTATTCTTTGTATGAAAAAAACTTTATTTCACCCTTCAAAAACCAAACAAACTTATGGATCCACCCAATACTTACAAGGAATTCTATTGTCATATAAATAGTTTCTATAATTTATTTTCATTTTATTACTGTATAAATTTTGTATTTATACAAGAATATTCATTATATTTTAGAGCTGTAAAGTACTGTTAGGAACTATCGTTAACCATATTGTCAGCATTAGATAAAAAAATATACCACAAAGTGATGACTGAATATAGAAAGTATGAGAATGCAGGAATGAAGTGGAAAAGTAGAGGAATAGGAATAACCTTTAATTAATGGCCAACATGTACATTTAAAGTAAAAATGTTATAGCTATAATTAAAAAATTGTAGATTAGTTCAGACCAAATTTGGTCAACATTGATAGGCCACGGTTGACTTCTTAACACCTTACAGCCCAAAACCTTGTAATTTTAATTATATTTTTAAACTGTAAGGAATTATTGTAATTTATAATATTAAGAAAAAAAAAATACAACTTTGAGAAATTATATTTTATTTTTATTTACATTAATATACATAATACTGTATTGCTAAAGTTACCATACATTAACTATAGTTATTAATTTAATGGGTTAAAGTGAATATATTTAAACAATGTTACATTTAACAGAATGCTTGAACCTTAGAAAACACTTATACATTTTACAACACTTAAAAATCATATACCTTTGTTTTTTAGACCACTTAACATACAATAGCACAGGCTGTTCAGTTTTTCTAAAGTTCAAATACCCTCTTGTATTACTTACTGTTACTTGTACTTATATTATTATTTAATAACTAATGCATCATACTGATTACTTATTATAACAGAAAACAATTGTAGAAACAATAGTTTTCTTATCAGTATATATAAGTTTATAGAGTTAAAACAAATCATTATTTATTTACATTATATTATTTATGTTTTATTAATATAATATTGGTTAATTATATAAAAAAATATTATTTTGTTTATTGAATATTTATTTTGCTAGTGAAAAAATAAAAAACATTAAAAATTAACTACAATTTAAAAAAAATCTCAAAATACAAAAAAAAACAATTATTAAAACAAACAAACAAACAAAACAGAAAAAGCTAACAAATAAAAGATATTTATATATAAATCACAGTATTGTTACTTTGGTAAACAATAAAATAATAAGACATTCTAAACATTACAAAAAGGACTAGATTTTTCTTTTGTTTGTTTAAATTCACTAACTTTCAATTTGTTTATGAATTTTGTAAGAACTTTTGAAATCAATAAAACTGATAATATAGAGCTGAACAAAAAGCAGTTAATGACTAAGCTGTTCGTAGTATCCTTCAGGTGAAGATTATCTTTTTTCAATACTAAGATCTGTGATTCCATTTCAGTACCCATCACTTTGACCTGGAAAACAAAGTCAAGTATTTAATACATTACATTTCAGACAGATATTACACCTAAAGCACAAATGATTTATCTTATATTGGAAGTGATAGATACCTAATGGCTATATAAAGTATGTCTGGATTATGATGATTAAGAATTTAATTTGTGAAAAACAAAACAAAAAAACAATTATGTTTTAA